GAGGCATTGTCGCCCAAGGACGCCTGCATCTGCTCCAGCTTGGAAGCGGCTCGCTGAATAATGCGCTCCGGCATGCCCACGCTCTTGGCGAGCTCAATTCCAAAGGAGTTTGTGGCCGTGCCCTCCTCCGCTTCGTAGTGATTCACAAAGACATCCTCCACCATTGATGTCTTCATCGCCAGGCGGCCCACCGTAGGAATGTCCATCGCCAGGTGGTGAAAGTGGGTGGCAAAGAGAGTGTACGCTTTGGTGGTGTTGGCCAGGCACTCGCTGATGCCCTGTGCAATGCCAAATCCATCGAAAGTGCCCGTCGAACGGCCCAGCTCATCGATGACAATGAGCGAATCGGAGGTGGAGGAGCGCAGAATGGCCGCGGCTTCCACCATTTCTGACATGAAGGTCGATAGGCCGAGGGCGGGATTATCACTGGCGCTGATTCGCGTGTAGATTGCATCCACAATGGAAATGGTCGCCTCTTCACAGGGCACAAAGCTGCCGATCTGCGCCATCAGCACGCTGATGGCCACTGAACGAATGAAGGTGGACTTGCCGCCCATGTTCGGGCCGGTGATGACGTAGAACTTGAAGGCATCCTTGTCAAATGTGATCGAATTGGCGACAAAGCTCATGTCTTTGATTATCTCGATAATAGGGTGGCGAAACTTTTTCAACACCAATCGGCCCGATCCCTTGGGCAGCATCTTTGGGCGAGTGTAGTTTGCCTGCTGTGCGGCCTTTGCAAAGGCTACCAACACATCGATGTAGGCGAGAATCTTTTCCAGCTTTAGAATTGGCTCCATGTATTGGCGCGTCTGATCAATAAACTCGGCAATGAACGTTTGCTGAAGCTCTTCGTAATTTCGGGAGCAGTTGTCAAAGTCAATGTTGATGTCTTTGATCTTTTTGCTGATAAAGCCATCCTTGATTGACCCTCCTTTTGGAACATCTTCGTAAGACTTGTCGTCTAAAATTTTGTAGTATGTGCCCTTTTTCAATACGCGAAAGTAGTAGCCAAATTGATCATCAATTTCCATCGTGAATTCGCTTCGATCAATATCAAACTTGCGCTGCAGGTCGCGCAAAACTTCATTTGATTCTTTTCTAGCGAGCGGCTCTAGGGCTTCCATCTCATTCTTCAGCTCAACTAGTTCATCGCTCACTGATGCGTTCATCCAAAACTGGTGAGTCTTTTCAAAGTGCTCAAAGTCAATTGATTCATNTGATTGACCCTCCTTTTGGAACATCTTCGTAAGACTTGTCGTCTAAAATTTTGTAGTATGTGCCCTTTTTCAATACGCGAAAGTAGTAGCCAAATTGATCATCAATTTCCATCGTGAATTCGCTTCGATCGATATCAAACTTGCGCTGCAGGTCGCGCAAAACTTCATTTGATTCTTTTCTAGCGAGCGGCTCTAAGGCTTCCATCTCATTCTTCAGCTCAACTAGTTCATCGTTCACTGATGCGTTCATCCAAAATTGGCGAGTCTTTTCAAAGTGTTCAAAGTCAATTGATTCACTGGCCAACTTTTTGAAAGGCTCCAGTTCGGTGAGCACGTCTTTTAGTCGGTCGTAGATTCTGATCTTTACTGATTCAGGCAATGAATCGTAGTCAAAAGCATCCAGCATTGTCGGCAATAGTTCAACAACCTGGAACACCTGAAAAACATCTTGCAGCTTGCAGCGTCCATTGGTGAACTTTTTGTAGACTTTGGTAATGTCAGGGATTTTGGCGAGAAAATCATTATGAAACCGTGAGGTGATATCTCCCGGGTTTTGGCAGAAAAATTCAACAATGTCGAGGCGCTGTTCAATGTGTTTCAAGTTAGTTAGCGGCTGGCGAATGTAGCTATCCAGCAATTTGCGACCAGACGCAGATTTGCAGTGATTCAAAACTTGAAAGAGACTGTGAACGTTTTTGCTTTTGTCACTACTTTTTGGAAACAGATGCAAGTTTGAGATGGACGACAGATCGAGGCGAACAAATGTTTCATAATTCAACGTCTTGAGATGATAGTTAGATTCGCAATAAGGATCGTTTAAAATGTTGAGAAGTTCTAGTAATCCGTTAAAAGGAATCAGCGCCTTTTGGTTATTAGTCAAAATTTCCGACAAAGTTGTAGAGGTAAAGTTTTCTTTGACCAGCTTCTTTACGATATTCTCAATTTTTTTCAATGAATTTGGATCAGGAATGTAGTTGCTGAAGAGAATGTTATTCTTTCGAAGCAAAATTTTGNATATTCTCAATTTTTTTCAATGAATTTGGATCAGGAATGTAGTTGCTGAAAAGAATGTTATTCTTTCGAAGCAAAATTTTAATTCGTTCTTTGGCAAAACCGTTTGGCAAAAGGCACTCTTTTGGATTGAGTTGAACAATGAGACTTTCCAGGCGAGTGTAAGAGTTATTGTCGGCAAAGGAACTAAGGGAAATGGTGCAGTTGGTGCTGTTGACACAAGCAAAGTGCACGAGGCCTTCAAAGTCAAGGTACAAGGCAGCCGTATTCTGATTGATCACTTCTTGATGATTAAACTTATCGATAATGTACTCAAACTCGCCAAGATTGCCCGGCGTGGCCTTTGACTTTAACTTCCAATCGTTGTCTGATTTGCCCTTTGTGTAAATCTCCACTTGATAGTTATTTTCCACAAGAAGATAGTGAAGCAAAGTCTCAAAGCGTGAATCACTGATAGACACCGACTCGAGCTGATTATTTTCCGGGCCAATATTCTTAATCGCTTGACAGGTGTTGAGAAAGTTGTTGGCCACCATGACAGCAGCCTCCCCGTGAATAGTGTGATAGCCACCTGTCAAAATAAAAGGTCAAGTCCGGTTTGTTTCAGGTGTCTGATTGAAAGCTTACCTCGGTAAAAGAGACGAATAACTTTTGAGTCACATTTCGTCATCGACTTGAAGAACGCCACAAAAGTGGGCTCATTGGGAACCTCAACCGTGGTGACAGCCGAATCGTCGGCCATTCTTGTGCAACGTTGTCAGCAATGGAAAAGAACAGATCAGATCAGAGTAGTAAGAACTAGATCAGAACTTCGCATCAGAAGACTGAAAATCGCCGTACAGATTTTAGCGCGATCTTCAACCAAAAAAATTATTTGTTGTTTACACCACTATCGATTGTCGCAATCGATAAGCCAATTTCGTCCGTCTCCTGTTTTTGGCAGCATTTCATCATCGTCTGTGAATCAGTTTTGATATTCTGGCGCCCTGATATTTACCGAATCCCCTTCTGTCGTCGTCGTCGTCGTCGATCAAGATGGACTTGTACCTTGAATTCGAGCAGGAGATGCTGCTGAATGTGATGAATGAAAACAGCCTCACAATCACCTCAAAAGGCATCGCCAATGACCGCCTGCTGTTGAATCTGGTGCGCGTCTTCTCTACCTCATGCAAACTTGTTCTGGTAATTGGCGCCGATCAACCCGAGGAGGAAAGTGTCATCATGCAGATGACGGAGATTCTGGAAAAGCAGTCTTCGAATGATGTCGACGAGAATTACGTTCCTCCAAAGCGAATTGTCTGTGAGCCTGGTCAGGCGGCAAATCGTCGTGATATTTACCTCTCCGGCGGTGTGATGTTTATCACCACTCGTATTCTCGTCGTTGACATGCTCACCAAGCGACTGCCTTTCGAAGCCGTGACCGGTTTTATCGTCGTGAATGCCCATCGAGTGCTCAAAGATTGTCACATGTCCTTTATTCTGCGGCTCTTTCGCTTGCACAACAAGACTGGCTTTATCACGGCAATGTCGCAGAATGCACAAGCCTTTCTCGGCTCATTCGCTAAGCTGGAGCGCATCATGCGAAAGCTCTTTGTCACAAAAGTTTTCCTATGGCCTCGATTCCACGCCGCCATCAACAACTCACTTTCCACGCGACTGATTCCCGAAGTGATTGAGGTGAATATTCCCATGACTTCGGCGATGGAGCAAATTCAGTTTGCACTGATGGACCTCATTTCAAAGTGCGTCAAGGAGCTGAGCAGCATGAACTCCTTCATCTACTCGAGCTCTATGAGCTTGGAAACTAAGGACACCGAGAATGAGGATGCCCTCACTACGATCAATGTCATCGCAAAGAGCTTCAACAAAATTGTTCGCGCCCACCTCGACTCAGTTTGGTTTCAGCTGTCTCCTCGAGCTCGGCGACTGATTCGTGATATTCGCCAGCTGAAGACGCTTCTCTTCCACCTCACTGAACTTGACGCTGTGCAATTTTACAGTGAACTGAAGCACATTCGAGATAAGGTCAGCATTGACTCCAATCCGGCTGATTGGCTCTTCTGGGGACCGACTGACACCTTGTTCAAAGTGGCTGAAGAGAGGGTTTTCCTCGGCATCAGCTCAGCGGGGAAACGCGACTACAATATTGAAATTAATCCAAAGCTCGAAGAACTGGATAAAACATTAAATGAAATCGAAGAGGAGTTTTTAAGTGGCATAAAAAAGAAGCGCTCCCGAGTGAGTGATGGCGAAGATGGTGACGGCCAGACGTTTGAGCCGATTGATTCAGACGCAGTGCTGGACATCATCATCGTCGTGGAGAATCGCTATTCCAGTCTTCAAATCGACGCCTTTCGCGACAAAGGTACTTTAACCAAAACAGCATTTCCCAGCAGTTTAAACTCATTTCTCCTTTCTCCTCCTTTTCTAATCTAGGCATGAGCGTCGTCTTGTCTGACATGAAGAACAAGTGTGATCTACTGTGCGACAACAAACTGATGAAGGCACTCTTGAAAGACTCCGCCAAGCCAACAAAAGCGGGCCGCCTTCGTAGCAATGCAGTGGAAGAGTTTGAGGAGCAGCTGACGCTGACGCAGATGCTGGCGCAGTACCAGACCGAGGAGGAGACCATCAGTCGGAAGCACAACCGCCTGCGACTGAACTACTTCGAGTGGGGCGGCGACAGCAACTGCGCCCTCGGTCTGAAGCAGATGCTCGCCGCCATTCAGCCGAGGCACGTCCTCCTCTACGAGCCGGAGATGGCCTGCATTCGCCAGGTGGAGCTGTACCAGGCGCTGTACGGCGCCCGGTTGCAGGCAAAGTACGGCGGCGTCCTTCGCGTCCACTACTTCATCTACGTCGGCTCGGCGGAGGAGCAGCGCTACCTGCGCAACCTGCAGCTGGAGAAGGACTCCTTTGAGCGGCTGATTGAGGAGAAGGCGAAGCTGGCGAAGGCGATGGACGGCGATGGCACCGCCGGCCTCCACCCTGATCTCATTCGCGGCTCGCAGCCCTTTCTCCACCCGGAGGAGAAGTCAGGCGGCGGAGGCGGCAGTAGCTCTCGAATGGGCGGTGGGGGAGCTGCCGTCCAGACGAGCAGTGAGGCGGTGGTGCGCCAGGTGCTGGTGGACATGCGCGAGTTTCGCTCGCTGCTGCCCTCCTGCGTCCACAAGATGGACATTGAACTGGAGCCGGTGACGCTGGAGATTGGCGACTACGTCCTCTCGCCGGACACCTGTCTGGAGCGCAAGTCGGTCGCCGATCTAATTGGCTCACTCAACAACGGCCGCCTCTACTCGCAGGCGCAGGTGATGACGCGCTACTACAAGCGGCCGCTGCTGCTGATCGAGTTTGACGAGCCGAAGTCCTTCAACTTCAAGGCCCGGTACTGGAGCTCGGCGCAGCACGCCGGCGGCGCCAGCAATCCCTTCACCACCTCCTCACGGCCCAGTCCACTGCTGCAGCTGTCCGTCCTGGCGATTCACTTTCCGCAGCTGCGCTTCATCTGGTCGCCCTCGCCCGCCTTCAGCGCGGAGATCATCGACCAGCTGAAGCAGGGCAAGGAGGAGCCCACCAAGGAGCGGGACATTGTCCGCACCAGTCAGCAGTCGGCGGCGGGCGGCGGCGGTCAGGGCGAGCTGCCCATCGAGTACATCACCGACCGGTACGACATTGAGGCGAAGGAGTTTCTCTTCTGCCTGCCCGGCGTCACCTCGGCCAACATCTACTCGATCATGAACCAGGTGAAGTCACTTGCCGCCCTCGTCGACCTCTCCATCGAGGAGCTGACGGAAATAATGGAGAGCAGCGTTCACGCAACGATGCTGCACCGGGCGCTGCACAGCAAGCTGGTCATGCCCTCCGAGTCGGAGATGGAGAAGGAGAAGGCAAAGGCAAATGCGAAGAAGCGATTTGCCTACGCTCGAAAGAAGCCCGCAGCCAAGTGAGGCAAGTCAACGTCTCCTTCTTTTCTACCTCTACCCACTTTTATCTTACCCACTTTCTGTCTGTGATTACACAAGCGTTTGACATTGTGCTAAAAGCTGTATTATGTATATTCATTTGTTGTCAATAAACCTCTATTTGCTCTCTTGTGATCTTCGCCTTCGGCCGACCCTTATCGCGCACTCCGAGTGCGCTTGGCACTCACTGGTGAACAACATTGCAATTCCAATCGCGGTGCAATATCAGTCGATATAATATATTTTCTGACAGACTGGGATGTTGTTAGTGTTGGTGCTGGTGAATTGGCCTTTCCAAACACGACTGACCATTTCTGACCAGGCTTTTATTCAGGTAGAGCAAACAGAGCCAGTCATCAGGTGAGTGAATGCGTGAGGAGGAATGTGCAGCGCCCATTTTCTCCGATGACATCCACACCGATTGCACCGGCACGCCGCATTAGCAACCACTACTGCTGCCATTACTGCTACAACGCTGAAATCGCTTTCGGTCGTCTGGTGACAGTGTACAAATTAGACCGAATAGCACTTTCTGGTAATCGAAATAGGCCGCCGCCGTACATTTCACTCTGAAATGATTTCACTTTGAATTTGTCAGTGTGTAGTGGACCTGTCTTTTACGAGCGTTGCCAGGGTGCGCACTTTTCTTCTTTTGCTATTTTTGACTCATCTTTTCTGCATTTTGGGCCCTAGTGACAGACGCTGGTGAAGAAGAGACTGACACTCGAAGCTCGCTTCTTGCTATCTCTGCCACTTTATCTCCTCTGCAAGTCTATCGCCTGTGACAGGCTGCCCATCGCCGTGCAATCACTGGTTGCTTCAGTAATCCTTCAGTGGCCGCCTGTCTGTCTGTGTGAGTGTGTTCGTTCTGCAGCTACGACGCGCGCTTATCACTCGCCGCTTTCGTCACCGGCAACTCGAGACTCGCACAACAGCGATCTCAATTCGAGAAGCGGCAAGCAATCTTCTGCTTCTTCATCATCCTCGGCAAACAACTGCGTATCAGCGCTATAAATTGGCCGTCCACCCCGACCAGGCCAGTCAGTGTTCACACCGATTGCCGCTCTGCCGAAGCGCACTTCACTTTAACTTCAACTGATCGACATCACCACCGACAACTGTTGATAGCAACAATGAAATTCAGGCTCTTACTGGCCGTCTCTCTGGCGGTCCTCTGCCTCGTCGAGGCCTCCTCCTCTTCAAACAGCAGCCCGCTGGTGCGTGTCCAGCTGCACAAGACCCAGTCGCTGCGTAGTAAGTTCGTGGAGGTCGACTCGCCGATCAAGCTCGCCTACACCACCCACCAATTCAAGCACTGGTACCATGGCACTCCGGAGCCGCTGTCCAACTACGCCGACGCGCAGTACTACGGCGAAATCAGCATTGGCACTCCTCCGCAGAAGTTTTTGGTATGTCGCGCTGTTCTACGTGTTTGTTTGACACATCTTAACATGCTAATTCCTCTTCTACTCATGCTAGGTCATCTTCGACACTGGCAGCTCGAACCTGTGGGTGCCTTCCAAGAAGTGCAAGTTCACCAACATTGCCTGCCTCCTGGTACGTTCTATTTTTGCCAATCTATGTAAGACTTTTTTTCATTGACTTGTTATCACTACCCAACAGCACAACAAATACGATAGCACCAAGTCATCTACTTACGTGAACAATGGGACTGCCTTTGAGATCCGCTATGGAACTGGCAGTATGACTGGCTTCCTCTCCACGGACACCGTCACCGTGGCCGGCCTGGCCATCAGCAACCAGACCTTTGCGGAGGCGGTCACCGAGCCCGGCATCACCTTCCTGGCGGCCAAGTTTGACGGCATTCTCGGCCTGGGCTTCCAGACCATCTCCGTCGATGGCGTGCCCATTGTCTTCGACAACATGGTCAAGCAAGGCCTCGTTCAGCAGCCCATCTTCTCCTTCTACCTGAACCGCGACGTGGACGGCAAGGTCGGCGGTGAGATCATCTTCGGCGGCTCTGATCCGAACTTCTACCAGGGCGAGTTCACCTACGCTCCGCTGACCAAACTCGGCTACTGGCAGTTCACCATGCACGGCATTCTGATTGAGAACCAGAGCGACAACAAGATTGTCGGCCATGTCTGCGAGTCAGGCTGCGAGGCCATCGCCGACACTGGCACCTCGCTCATTGCCGGCCCTAAGGACCAGGTGGACCACCTGAACCGCGCCCTGGGCGCCATGGGTCCCATCAAGGGCATTTACATGTTCAACTGCAACACCACCAGCTCGCTGCCGAAGATCATCTTCCAGATCAACGGAAAGCAGTTCCCGCTGACCGCCGACCAGTACGTCTTCAAGCAGTCTGCCATGGGCCAGGATATTTGCATCAGCTCCTTCATTGCTCTCCCCGCGGAGATCCCCCTGTGGATTCTGGGTGACGTCTTCATCGGCAACTACTACACCGAGTTTGACTATGGCAACAAGCGCCTTGGCTTTGCCCCTACCAAGTTCACCAACACCATCAACGCTGTTTAGAAGATGATGATAACCACACACACAAACAACACTCTGAGTCACCATGACGACAACAGTTGCCACCAAAAAGCAAAGCCTCTCTATTCCCCTTCTCTTTTCTAGCTGTCATTTTTCCTTTCCTTTTGTACTACTACTCACCATTACTTCTGTAAGACAATAAACAAAGAAGCACAATTTTATTTAATGAAAAGTGATTTATTTTAAAGAAAAAAGAAGGGAAAAATC